AATGCATCCTCTGAAAGTGCCTAAAATTCTCAAATTCTTTGCGCGCATTTCTTGTTACGGTAGGCCAATTTCCTCTATAAATTGCACATTTTAGGGAGTTTTCATCAATTCCGACGAAATTAGAATTAAAAACACAAAAATATTTTTTAGGGCTTTTTTAAGTTTTATCCTTTTAAGTTATTTAAACACATAATAGTCCCATACTCAAGAAAGACAAATTTAAGATAGATCATTTTAACCTAAAAGAAGGGCCTCAATGTGTATAGATGTTGAAAGATTGTGTTTGTAATAAATACAACCATGATGAAAATGCTTATATTTAGTTTCAAACACACGTGTGTGGCCTATATTATAAATAAGATAAGCCCTATGTTGTATTGTTTTCTATATGGGGAGAGGGGTGGGGTGGGGTGGGTATGGTAAATTACTAACCGGGAAATGAGGATTGTATGTTGTTGTTATTATTATTATTATTATTATTATTATTATTATTATTATTATTATTATTATTATTATTATTATTATTATTATTATTATACTTATAATGGTCACATTATTAAGAAGACACAACAATAATTGTTACTTAACCAATATCCTGAGGCGCGTGGAACGGAGAGAGTAGAGAAAACAGTAGAACTTATACATACTGTTTGTGGTGCTGAACTAATAATAATAATTCAAATAATAAAACATTAAATAGTTAAACCGTTATTAAATTTTTAATTATTGGTCATGTTGTAACTTCTTGTGATGATGTTGTTTGTACTGTTCTTTAATTTTATTAAAGAGGGCCCCTGAATGTCAGTTAACCTACTGGGCTAAACTAGAAGGGTTACCCTCTTTAAAGATGGTTGAAATAAAAAATTAAAAAAATAATGTACCCAATCTGACCCAAGACCCCTGTTACGCGCCTGGTGTTAGCGCCAATGTGTGCCCTTGTGCGGACAGGAGATGTGCCCCCCTCTGAAGCTGGAAACCTTGTTTTTGCAAAATAAATTGATGCAATTTGCTATTATAGGCCTAATCAATAAATTCCTCATCAACCGATATAACCTTACACTGTTATTTTGAAGGAGTTATTTTAACTTCAAAGGAGTTATTCTGTACCTAAAAAAAGGTACAGAATAACTCCTTTCGAGTTAAAATAACTCCTTCAAAATAACAGTGTAAACATTCTTGGAATTGACATAACATTACTGATGTCGTACACACCCTTCAGTGTGAAATGTGGCTCTCTTTGCAAGCACATCTAACATCTAAGGAAAGAAGAGCTTAGATTGGTACCGGTACCAGATAAAACAATTTTGTTATCAACATTAATACATTATGCTAATTTTGTAAGCGCATAAGACAGTGCAAATTATTTCTGTGACAGTCTTTTGAAGTGTGTAAAGCTCCATTTTATCCCATACATAGTAAAAATATTGGGGGGGGGGGGATGATACAATGGACCATCCCCCTTGTCAAATTTTGGGGATATATATCCCCCCATCCCCCGGGATCTACGCCTATGTTTACAACAGGGATTTAACCAATGTATTGGTAGGCAAGCATCTTAACCACCAACCTACAACTCAATTCCTGATGAACTATGACTTAACTGACTTAACTTAACCGACCGAGAAAATGGCAGCTATAAGTGCATTTTCATTATCCAGCACCTTTAAAACTATAAGACCATATGTAGTTCATGATGATACTTATAGAAATCATAGCTAGGGTCATACACATTACTCTCAAATTCTGTGCTTTTTTTGTAATGTAATTGTACTTAATATTCTTTAAGGTACACTGAAGTAAAATATACAAATTACACATTCTCATAATAATTATGCTAAAACTGAACCAAGATAGTGATTTTGTTTGATAGAATAACTATCATGAAATAGAAAGTATTTGTTTTCGTAGTATTATCTTGTTGCGTTCCGTTCATAATTTAAAGAATCTGTTTACGCACGTGGTTTTAAATAACAAAACTGCTATGAAACCATTGCCAATAGTTTCTAACTCTGGGAGGCCAAGCCCTATGCAAGTAAAACTAATAATATTTACTGTATAAAATCACATAAATTATATAAATTTAGTTATACTATAAAAAAAGGAAAATAATACAAAATTGGAAGAAGACCCAAATTTTTCGGAGATTTGCCTAATACAGTAGTACTTTCTTTAGCTTTTCACGTTGGTGAACAAATTTCATACACTCATTAATGAATAGATAATAATTATTTAGAAAAACCTGTGATAATGAGATACTAAAGGCGTGTAAATATAAACGAATAGTCTCAACAGGTACAAAGACCTGACAATGAAATTAAAGGTATAAACATAGACTGACTAATTTCAAAGAAGATCTTTACGATAAATACAATTTCTAAACATTTTTCATAATTGGTGATTGCGCCCCCTATAGTTAGTACCATAATTTAGCATAGAAATTTCTTAATACTGTAAGGTTCTTGAACCTATCCGAGCTTCGATCCGGCAGTGGGTAAGGCAACGGTGTTATTCCGTTTACTTTCAATGCGTTATTTAAGGGATGAAAGAACAAGAATCACAAACTACGTCAAATTCTCTATAGAGCCAACAGACTCTTTTATTAATGATTATACTCATCAACTATTCAGCATGCATATTATGGGATGGTCCCGCGAAATAGTCTCGTGGGCCGCCCAATAGGATAGGAGGAAACTTGCGAGGGAGAGGGCTGCGTCTTGTGGTCACGCATTAGACAAATAAAACCCATTGATCAGCTTTATATGGTGTCTGGATCTCTTTCTATTTCTCGAACACTATTATGGTCACGGAGTGGTAATTTTCGTTACAATACTTACACTATTAGGAGCTTCGGCACCAAATAGAAGCTTGGCGTTATTGGTATATTCACTGTAAGATAAACAAAACAATAATAATAATAATAATAGTAAGTTATAGCAGTAGAAATCAATACATAGGTCTCTCATTCTGGCAGCCTTGGTATATCTGCAAAACAAGGCGAACGTAAAATTTAGTTTCCTTGATGCTTTGGATTCCATGATGCGTAACTACTAAAATTATACAGATACTATGTTCAATAGAACATGAAAGCGAAGTCAGATGTTAAATTTGAGCTCAATTGGTTCATGTTAAATATTTTAATTTTGAACAAACAAACGGTGAATGTCTTTTTTACCCAGTAAGATCAAATAATTTTAGAATAATAAAAATTGCTAGAAATGAAGATGACACTTTAATGACGTTTGACGATAAATTCATGAACATCTTAAAGACCTTGCATTATGCCAATGCATAGGCCTATGTGCAAAGGACAAGGCTGTGCTATGTTATTTGTGACAGAAGTAAAATTTAAAGCAAGGTTCTGGAGGAAACAATGTTTTGATATGTACAACCATCAATATCAGGATGGACCCACTTTACACGTAAATTCATATAATGTGGACCCCTTTTCTTTAAAGTGGACCCATTTTTACGCAAAAATATGAAAAATCTGGACCCATTTTCTTAAAAGTTTATCAATTTTACTCTATATGTGGACACCTTTTTCAAAGAGTGGACCTATTTTATGTATGAAATTGCATAATTTGGACCTATTTTTCAAAATGTGGACCCATTCTTTGTGAACCCATGAGAAAAATGTGTGGGACTGTCCCAACTGTTCCTCCAATAGCTGTCTACGGCATTTGTCCAATTGATTTTTCTAAGACGCAAAAAGCATATTTGACGAAAAACTCGGTAGCCGCTGATGAGACACAGATTTTTGAATATTTAAAAACTGGTAGTCCTTTCTCCCTGTTGATGAGTTAGATAAGGAAGAAGAGGAAGACATTGACCTAGAAATCGATTATGACCTGGACGATGACTAGATATAAGGTGTTCGCCGTGTATGGACGATTCCATTATTTTCTTTTAAATATGTTTGAGGGTAAAAATCGAGTTTTTGTGACCTTGACCATGTCTTCTGACCGTTTCTTCCAAAATGTAATCATCTATTTCTTAGATTATTATGTACCATTCTGCTAAATTTTATGATGATCTATCCCTTAGATTTTGCGTGACCGGACGACAGACAGCAGTGCTTAATGCGTTTTGAACTGGTCACTGGATACAGAATCATACCTCTGAAAAGAATAAAATTTAACCAAATAATAAGTTTATGAAGTTCTCGTTGACTGTTTTGATAATACAGTTTAAATCACGTGGGAATAAATTGTTATTATAGATGCTTATGGTGACAATGGTGATACAAAAGAAACGTAAAGAAAACAAAATCAGCGATATAAAAACAAATCAGAATTTTAATATTTTAAATAATGATGCTGAAAGTGACGACAACGAAGGTGGCATTGATTAAAATGTTGGTGACGTTAACAATTATGTTGTTGATGTTGGTACCTTTGAATATAACGAACATGCTGTAGATGTTTATGCTGATGATGATGACGAGGATAATGATTGAACGATGATTAAATAATGATAAGGAAAATGTGGACGATGATGATGATGAGAAATTGTTAAAGATATGTCATTTAAATTTTAGAAGTATGATAAATAAGTTGGATGAGTTACACTTTCTATTATTGAAAACTAAACTTGATACGGTAGCTTTTATCTCCGAAACTTGGCTAAATTGTAATATAAGTGAAACCCAAGTAAAGATGAAAGGGATTAAAAAATATAGCAAAAAAAAATGCAACCAAACAAAAGTTTGCTGGACTACTTTGCTCGGACAAGTTTGAAGAAGATCCAAGCACAGAAAATGACTAAACTACCGGTCAGAAAACGCCTGTGCAAAAAATATATAAGAAAATGGGATAGAAGAAAAAATTCAGAACAAAAACAATTGATTTTTAAAAAATTATTTTTATATTTGGATCAGAGAATCACATTTGCCATCAATGGAATATGAACATTTCATTTTGAGTACGGAAGTAGGCCTATATTATAATTTATAAACTGAAACCACGATACATTCTAGTACAGTATACCGTAATAAAATCAAGATGGCACTTCCTTCAAGGATAAACCTAAATTCTCAATACCTATTTTGTATGACTGCACTGTGTTTCCTGAGCTGTATCTCACTAGAATCTGGTGGATATATTCAGAATATTACAGAGCCTGCGTGCCCTGAGGTATGTTCCTGCACTTTACAAGGTCTCGTAAATTGCTCGTACCGGAATCTTACCAGTATTCCAGATAAGAACAAACTACCTGTAGATTCTAATGTGTACTTGCTGCAAGACAATAACATCAGTGCGCTAAGTAGCAATAGCTTTAATACAACTCCTAATTTGACCTTTCTCGACTTCTACCAAAACAAACTGATTTACATCGATGATAATGCTTTTGCTGGCCTTGGCCGCCTGCAGGTGTTGAATATTTCATATCAATTCCTCGATCACCATATCATTCCTATTCAGAAAATTATCAAAAACTGGTTCAAGGGGCTTACTCAGCTTACAGTCGCCAAGTTGATGGTCATTGGTGCTGAAGTAATCGAAGATGACGCTTTTTCTGATAATCCAAATATAGAAGAGATTAATCTGAATTCTAATAATCTGGTGGACATACCAAGTCACCTATTTCAACATCTTCCTAAGTTAAAGATCATCCAGGTATGTTGCAACCGTCTCACAGAAATTGATGGTGAACCGTTCCTTGGATCAAACCATGTTGAAGAAATACAACTATACACTAATTTCATCAATAAGCTCCATGAAAATGCTTTCAGAAACATGAAAAATATATCTCTTATTAACTTAAATGTCAATCAATTAACCTCAGACAACATCCCTTGTCAAACTTTCAGAGGATTAAGACGCTTAACTAAACTCTACTTGTACAACAACAAATTGAAAACCATAAAAAAAAGAATGGTTTCAGGATTTGACATCCTTAGAAGAATTTCATGCTGATGACAACAGTGTCACAACCTTGGAAGATAATGTGTTTAAAAACTGCTTAAACCTGAAAGTAATTAATTTAAGCTACAACTTTATTGTTGAAATTCCCAGCACAGTGTTCAGTGGACTACCGAATTTGCTGAGTGTTATTTGCTCTGACAACCGAATCGACAACATTGGTGATGACTCTTTCCAAGGTTCCAGTCACATCATCCAGCTAAATTTTGACGGCAATCTCTTCAAAACTGTTTCAAAATCAATTGGTCTACAACACCTACCTAATTTAAAAGATATCTCTTTCTACACAAATCCGTTTCAATGCAACTGCGATCTAGTATGGTTCATTAGCTGGATCCAGTCTCCTGACGTCAGACCATACGTGTACAATTTGAATGATGTGAACTGTAATGGTCCACCAAACTTATCCCTTCGTTTGCTCTTGGATTTGGATCCAGATTCATTTAGCTGTAGTTCCCATGTGGTGATCATTGTTGTTTTAATTGCAAGTGTACTGGTTATAATCGCAATCATCCTATACTACTTTCGTTGGGACCTAAGGTAAGAAGGGTGATTTAAAAAAAAATTAGTAACAGTCCTCGATATTCATAATTTACTGTGACACAGAATTAATCTAAAAATCTCTTTATTTTTAAAAAGCAAATATCATTGGATTTAAAAAAAAACAACCATATTTTTAGAAAATGTTAATTCTTATTAATAATTATTTTTATAATTGGTTTGTAAACTAGTTCTGTTTTAGTTTAATCCTGTACTCGTATCTGGTTTAATGTTTTTAATATATGTAATTTTTGTATGTTTTTTTTTTGTTTTGATTATACAATCAAATGTGTCAATAAAAATGTGTATACCACTAGGTTAACATGTATAAATATACATTCATTATTATTCATTTTTTATAATCCACAACACATTTTTGTTTATGGCACAATTTCCCTACCTGATTTAAACAAACTTTCAACAATCATTTGTAAAATGGATGTTATTAATCACTTTATGAATTAAATTTTCCTTGATAATCAGATATTTACATCAAAGAAGAAAACTTCGCAAACAATACCAAGAGCTAAATGAAGATATTGATGAACCACCAAACATGCAGGGCAACATCTTTGATGCATTCATTTCCTACAGCAGTAAAGACTGCAAATGGGTCTCAAATGTGCTCCACCCAACGCTCGAAAATGACCCATACAATTTTCGGCTGTGCATTGACTACCGTAATTTCATGCCAGGAAATTCCATTGTCGACAACATCGCACAAGCTATTAGATGTAGTCGTAAAACTATCATGATCCTGACCAAGAACTTTTTGAGGAGTCAGTGGTGTTACTTTGAGCTCGAGATGGCTAGGATACGTTTGTTGGAGAACAGCGAAAATCTCTTTATCATCGTGCTTTTGGAGAGGATTACTACAAAGGATATGCCGCTGAAGTTGCAACAAGTCCTAAGGAAGAAATCTTACATCAGATGGCCTGATAACGAATCTGCTCAGCGACTGTTCTGGACCAAGCTTGAAACAGAACTACGATCACCAAATACTATTAACTGACTTTTCCACCGTATAAAATAAAATGGAGGCCAAAGGTATTCTAAGATGAATATTTTTTGAAACAAAAAAAGCAATAGGACTGACACAGAAAATGTTATCATTTAAAGTTTATACAGAGTTGTACTGCACAAGGATGAGTGGTTGGTCAAAGGGTATCGTTCCTACTTCTTGTGCTGACCAGTGATCAAAACCCAGTCTGATAGCTCGACTGTTCGAATATTACTCATATGAGTTTGTAAGACATGGAGCAATGCTCCTTGCTTTACTCCAAAAATGAGTGTTGAGAAGGGAAATGTAAATAGCTATGTAATAGTGTAGCCTGAGCCAGAATATAAAGTGCAGTACATTGTGGCAACATAAATATTTAGTACCATTAACATGACAGGTTATCCCCTAATATAATAATTTAGCATTAGTCAGCTTTAAAAGTCTACATAATAATTTGCTTAATAGCTTGTAATATTTGACTGCTTTGGAGGGCATGTTTCCTCATTTGACATGCCTAAATATAGCCATGATGGCGTCACATCATGACCATATAAAAGCACATCATGACCATATTATATAGGCATACAACAATTTTTTTTGTAATAATAAAATTTGATAGTCTGACCAAGGCTTAATGAGAGACAGATTTAAAAAATGGTTTACAAACGTATTATTTTTTTTATAATTGAAAAACTAATAACTTACTGTGAATATATAAATAGTCAATTCTAATGCTAATTTGCTCAAAAGAAACAGTATAAGATAAGCTTAACATTGGTGACCTATTCATAAAATGTCTTAGTAATTACTTTTTAAAATTTTAAGTTTAGGTTTTTTTTTCTGGGTGAGATAAGGTAGTTAAACGGGTGACCGTCATTGAATGTGCTCACAACATTATTTTCGTAGGCATAATTTGTTACAAGCTGGCAACAAGGTGAATTCGTATCACAGCTCTCGATTCACACGGAATGGGTTGTTGCTACAAGTGTATGATGAAACATTATGTAAATTGTGTTACCCATACATATAACATGTATTATTAAATATAACCAAGAAGTCATAAAAATATGTTTTCTGTTATTTTTTTGGTCACAGCATTACATTAGTGTGTCATAATACACATCATTTGATATATAATTTTTATAACTACTGTATTGTGATATTGTATGATGCCAAATATATTTAGAATAAATCTTCTAGTAACCCACTAGCTTCAAAATACCATTTTGGGGGTAAAAATAATGTAAATTCTGCTTCTTTTAAGAATAAGTTATATTATGACCAAGTTGTTATCATAATATCATTTCTAAACTGTAATATTACTAACAAGACCAGTGAACACGTGACATAAAACATGTACATATCAAAATTATTATGTTTAAACTTTCCTCGTTGGCGCGTACATAAATGTGATGTCTTGGAATTTGGATTTAATGTGTATAATGATATTGATAAACAATCACAATTCTCTGTAATATATTATGCTAAACATTTACAGAAGTGGACTTCCTTATGTTGTGGTCATATTAGAGTGTAATATTATATTAAAGAAGTCCATTCAACAAACAACATAAAACATACATCAAAGTTACTAGGTTAAAGTTCTCACGTCGGTGCATGCATAAATATAGAGCCTACATGAGATTGACAGTCAATCAAATTTCTCTGTACTATCTATGCTAATTTAACGAGTAAACTTCCTTATGAGAGAACTTCCTTATGAGAGAGCTTCCTTAGAGAGAGCAGCTCAGCACAGTCGGCTAATCTGCTGGTAGCCACTGTGTGTGCGCTGAACCATGGAGATTTCTAGGTCCCCGGTTCAATTCCCATCGCTGCCACTCTTTGTGTTTCAGCAAGAAGGCTGAAATACAAGTTACAATAGCGCACCGTCTTTCGGATAAGACGTTTAAGCCGTTGGTCCCGTGTGCATTTATGGCCCATGTGCACGTTAAAGAACACAGTACACTCTTCGGAAAAGAGTAGGGGATTGTCTCCCGGTGTAAAAGCACCATCAGAAGGACCCCACTGGAAATAAATCTTCTTCTAGACTTTCGTGGGCTATCCTTGGTGTTTACACCGAATAAATACAATCCGATCTATGATTCAAGGATATATACATGTAGACCTATATTGAGCTATACGCAAAGTTTAGAAGCTTAGAAATTTAAAAGTAAAAAGAGAGGACTTCCCTATGCTGTGGTCATTTTAGAATGTTGTATCATTAAAGTCCATTCAACAAAGAACATAAAACATATCAAAATTATAAAGGTTAAACCTTTCACTTTGGTGAATAATTATAATTTTGGGACATATACGATTTACATGACAATTTGAGAATGTACTGGATATAAAAAAATATGGGTAGACGCACCGAAGGGGGCACCGAAGGATCAGTGGCCCTTGGAGTAACTTTTAAGAATAGGCCCTTCTAGACTCTCGGAAATGGCACTTTCGGACGATAAAAATGCTTTTTCAAAGCAGTGTTACTCGACAAAATTATAGACTTCCTCCCGACGGCAGTTATGCTCCCTGGTATGCTCCTCCTCCCTTAGACACCCCCGGGGCGGATGCAGGATTTGGGAAGAAAACGTAATGCTTGCTTGTTCAGTCGCTGGAAGATTATTTTAGACGTGGGGGTGGGGTGGGGGTGGTTTGCAATAGTCTTGGGGCTCTCCTAGCTTCGCAAAGTTTTTTTCTAGATGCTGAGAAATGCACTTACGAGACTTCTATTGATGAACGAATACACACCGGATTAATAGATTTTCCCCATTTTAGCATGGCCAATTAATAATTGCGATGATGAAGATGATAAAGATGATGTTGATGATAATGATAAGGAGGAGAAGGCATCGTAGGAGGTGAGAACAGGCTCCTGTGCAAGGTTAATTAACAGGCCATTGATATGAGTGTCAACCAAGGCCCGTATCCCAAGTTTTTTGTCACAGTTTCAATGCACACAATCGGACAACAGTAATTATCTATAAGTTATATAATCAGTACATTTTCGACTCTCGTGAAAATATCATATATTTAAAAACTTACTTTATATCATGTTGTTTGTTGAATGGTGTTTAATGATATTATATTCTAATATGACCACAACATAAGGAATAACACTTTGTCACCTACAAAGTTCAGACCTATTTGTTGTTTCCTTATGCCAAGTCATAAGGAAGTCCGCTCTATATCCAAATTTCAGGAAATTATACGTTTTATGCATGCACCGACGTGGGAATTTTGTTTTATGTTGTTTGCTGAATGGTCTTCTTTAAAAATATAACAGTCTAATATGACCACAACATAAGGAAATTCATTCTTTAAATGTTTAGTAGATAGTACAGAGAATTATGATTGTTTAGCAAAATCATTAACCTAATAATAATAATAATAATGCAGTTCTAAAATTAAACTTATGACCACAACTTTTAAGTTAACTTCAGAAAAAATAATAATGCATTGTTATTGTACCGTCACCAGATGGGAAAGTAATTAAATATGCATAAATGTCTTCTGTGACTGGTTGATTGCCAACATTTCAATGCTTAGTGGTTTGATGGTCGGAAATAATAATGCGTAACTCTCATAATAATTTCATATTTCGAAAAATTGTTTGGAGTAATGATTACGTTCCGTGATAGATTACATCCACAGGGTGCCCCTAAGCCAAAATTTCAAAATTAAATAAATTGCGTTTTTCCGAATAATGACAGACTGAGTAGATTAGGCCTACTGGTTAAGATTTTATTCTAAAATCACAGAAAATCACAAATTTATATTCAGTACATTCTCGACTGTCTTGGACCTTATCAAATTTGATTGAGTGCGTTATACACACTCTTCGTAACACCCCACCTACTGGATATACGGGCCTGAAAACTTTATATTTTTTTTTTTATATATTCTTCTCAATTTCTCAGTATTTTTTTTAATATTCATTTTCCACTTCCAACACTGTGTGGTCTAAAATTTACGTACCATTCACGTCGTTGCTCTTCTTCAGATTCTGTGTTATTTTTCAGTCTCTCAGTGATCGGTGGTTATTTTTTACTTTCTTTTTAGATGTAGCTCTAGGTCTACAATTAGGCTACCAACTCCATGCAAGACTTGTATTTTGTTTTGTTTTGTTTTGTTTTTGTTTTGTTTTGTTTTGTTTCTTTAACGAATAGTATTCGTTAAAATAATGAAATAATAATTCATTAATCAAAAAGTAATAATTAAAATAATATGTTTTCGCTTTGGTGTAATTTTGGAATAACAAAATATAATAAAATTATATACGGTATGCCTTTCAATAAGGTTATAGGAATCAACGGGCATGTATAGCCTATCCTCCCTGTGATTAATTTTGTATTAACCATACATTGTGAATTAGATAATAATAATAATAATAATAATAATAATAATAATAATATTGATAATAATAATAATAATAATAATAATAATAATAATAATAATAATAATAATAATAATAATAATAATAATAATAATAATAATAATAATAACTCAACAGTGTACCGTAAGTTATCGCGCAGCCGATTTAATTACAATCCCTCTTTGATTAATACTTAGACAATGCAAAGAGTTTATTTTGTCTATATATTTTTGTCTTTGGTTTAGGTAGGTGGCATTTCTGACAAAAGAGTTGCAATTCACCAGACCACCAGGCACTGCTATCACTTTATAATTGGCAAACGGTGCGAAGAGATCTGGATCCGCGCCTGCCTCTAGGCGCCCGGAAATTGCACTCTCATACTTTACAACAATACAATACAACAATTATTTTTCTTAATACAGTTTATGCGGGTGCGACCGCAACCTCTGTACCACCTCTGCATCCGTCCCAGCACCTCCCCTCACGGGATTAATATAATATATGTCATACAGTCGCTGTCAGAGACACATTATACTGTTATTAACAAAGCCATTTAGGATCAGGGTGGTATATAGAGCGAGGACCCTACTGGGCTCATGGGTAGGGGCATCAAAGAAGCCAATAAGCGTAGGCGTTACTC